TGCCTATTATGCTTTCGGTCAGTTTAATATTGGCAGGGAGGACTAATTAGTCGAATGACGGGTTTCAGTAGGGCGACGACCATCTACCATTATAGTTTACGGCAGAGGATTAAGGTGGGGAGAACGTCATAGTTAAACGTATGATAAAATATCTAATAAACAAGGAACCCTTAATAATCTCAAAAGGATTTCTATAAACAACTAAAGCTAGATTTATGTATATTAAACTAATTTAAGTAGACCTCGTAAGTTGATACATTTATAAGAAATATACAACAGTTCATAATATATTACTATTTCAGACTATATGTAATTGTCACATTCGTCGTCTCTTCATATACTTATTACTATTTATTGACTTATAAGTTTGATATAAATGAAGTCGATTTTCAGACAGAAGCACAGACAGGTTTAAGCCGTAAGCAGCTTAGAGCACAACAAAGTAACGCGAAATTCCCTTGCGACAGAATTATAAGTATAACATAAGTAACATTTTGCACCTGATATGTGTGCATGTAAGAAGACAAGAAGTTTGACCCAAAGATCTATCAAACAATAGAGAAGTCTCAGCCGAAATTTCGTAGATTTTTCCCTTGAATTTGCCACTTTCGAGCTTAAGATTCCCTGCCGTCCTGTTCGGGGACACATATTAAGCCGCTTGTGGCCAATTATTATACCAACCCCCAATTAAATGTTGCCATTGTCCTTTGGCCATCGAAATCTCTATAAACTTTCGTTATTCACCTGTCGCGTCGGCCCAGACTTAAACGTTTAATTAATTTTGAAATGAATGCGAAAGTTTTAGACTTTATCTCTGGGCAGGTGATACTTTAAAGAGATAGGGGCCCAGAAACTACGAGTAACTTTTCGGTTGAGTCTTAAGAAGACTTTGGATTACTTTGAGAGCGCGACAGAACTTTTCCCCGACATAAATTCCAAAGTAAATTTTTTTTCACAACTAAACACTTTGGCGGGCGAACTTGCGTTTGAGCCGTTTAAAAAGGGTTTAAGCTTTGGCTTCGGCCTTTTAATTAGAAGGCAGTGGAAAATGGTCATAAAATATGTAGAATTCCTGCCCTGACAGTGTTCATGGCTTTGGGAGGAGGTTCGATGTTTGACTATTTCAAATGGTCTCTGGGTTGGCTAAATCTAAGAAGGTCACGGAAAGAAGCTTGTAATAAAATAATAATAATAAATATTTCGCATTCTATGATTTTAAATTTATGTAAAGATTTAAAAAGAGCAAGCTTGCGTTATATAAGATTTAAATAATAAGAAGGAAGGATAAGGATAATCAAGGCATTCATCAGTATTTTCTCCCCATGCACACTGCAACTTGAAGCTCCAAGCTGGATCCTTGTCAACCAATGTGAGCTGGTGTCCCAGCTGAAGCTGTTCGATCCGCTGCGGCTAGAAGGCCAGCGAAGCAAATTGTTTTTAATTAAAAGCAAACAATATCAATTCGTTCGACAGTTATCCGGTGATGGTGCCGACACAGCCGGCTGCTCTGGAGACGCCGGCCGGGGCCAGGACCTGCCCGGATGCACCGTTTGCCGGGGAAAGGATTAAACGGGAGGCGAAACAAAATTATCAAGTGGCATCGCTCCGTGCAACTTTGACATGGCCTGTTCATTTGGATCGGAGAGCAAACATTTTGCCACCCGCTGCCTGGATATCCCGGATCCCCGAAGATTATTAATTGTCTTGTCTGGCTGAATGGGATTATTTTAAAGTTAATTCCTTGTCTTCCCTGTAAGTTTGCGCTGCAACTCCATTTGCCTGATATTCGAAACTTTGCAGCATTTAATTTGTCTGCGATATCGAGAAGTTTGTCCTGAGATTTTTTTCTCTGACTTCCTCCTTTTCATATTGTAAATGAATTGATGAAGTTCCACAAAGTTTTTTAACGGCTGCTTATTAGTTTTTCCTTTAAAATAAACTTTGGTATTCCTGAGCAAAAAGCTCGAGAATTATTTGGATAGTTTAATGTACAAATTATGAATGGTTTCAATGAGGATTTGATCCCTACTTTGAGCAATTTAAGCCAGGACATATTTTGTACGTTATTTTCAGTCAGCCTTTGCCTTGAAAATGTTGCCACAAACACATGACAAGTATGGGGAGATGTGCGGGTGTCGGGTCAGAATCATCAGCATTAGGAGGGAAAAATGTTCATATGCGAGGAAGGATGGGAGGACATACAGAGATCCTTTTTGAGGGGCGTTGCCTTGACTCCGTTCCGACTATAACTGCTCCGTATCGCTGCTCTCTGTGTCCAACTATTTATTTTTATGACTTAATGTTGCTTCAGTTTGGTCTGAGTGTGTGCCGTAAATGCTGTCGTACAAATATGTGAAAATTGCTCATTTCAAATGTTTCCAAAAGCAAGACCGAGGCCGAGGATGTGGATGGGGAATAAGTACACATAGATATATATATTTGAGAAGCAAAAATGTGTGTAGGCAAATTGCCTGTCAAAAATGTTGTAGACAATTTGTTTCATTTTTTTCTGTTTTTGTCGTATTTTTTTTTACTGGCGTACATTGCCTGATGCTTATCAGAAATGTTTGGCGCAATTTTCACAATAAAATTATATGACGTGTTTATTTGCAGTTGGGACTTAAAGGATACTACACCAATCGATATTTATGAAATAATTAATAGAGAAATTTAACAAGACTTCAGGCTAAATGTTGTTATTTTAAATGTTAGAGTACATTTTTAATGATTTAACGAATCTGAAACTATTCAGCTTTTAATTCAAAGTATCACCTCGCTTTCTTCTTTCATATTTTTGTTATTTTAATTTTTCTTTTACCACAAAAAATTTGCAATCAAGCTTGATATTGTGTGTCCTCAAATTGGGTTATTCCCCATGCAAATCAATTATCCATAAACTTTCGAGTCAACTTTTCACATGTGCTCTTCCTCGCCTACACCAATAGTAGAAATTATTTCCATGTATTTGTTGGATTTTGACAACTTCGGGGACATTAGAGAACGTAATGAGTTCGAAAAGGAAACTTAAATCAATTAGTCAGCAAACGATGATGAATGAATGGAGCGGACTATTTTTCCTAAAACTTTTCGTTTTTAAAGAGCACAGGAAGCAACTTTTGCTTCACTATAAATGGCAAGCCGGTCCCCAAAGGGGCGGCAGGAAAGTCCCGATTGCTGTTGTTTTTCTGCCTATCACGCCTTTTTGTTGGTGGCATTTTCTATTTTTCCATGGCCCGCCTTTCCTCCCCTCCAATTTTCCCAGCTCTCGTTTTGTGTCATGCAGCTGGATAAGGTTGGGAGCTAGCTTGGTAGTGGGGAATTTGGAGTATTAAGTAAAGTCCTTTCCCTGAAGCCTTTGAATACAATTATAGTTTTGTCTTTAAATTGAACTAAACAAAAGTAAATATTAATAAAGCATTGGAATTATGAAATCGAAGAAATTAAAAGTCATTTTTAATTTACAACTTTTACGATTTGTATTTAAAATAGTTCCTTCTTATATTACGGATAGAACATTAGATGTTCGTCCTTCTGAGGGTGAGCTTGTTACTCCACTCTAGTTGTTTTTCCCTTGGCTACTTTGTATGCAGTTTGCCTGCTGCTATCAGTTGTTGGATTTTCAATAGCCGAGTGCACTTTTGTGCCCCAACAAGCCCAAAAGTAACACTCGGGAGCGCGGGCCTTGAGGTATTATCAACAGTAACAATGGCAACTATATGCACGGGCCAAAAAAGTGGAAAATGAGAGGCGAAATCACATTCAAAATGCTGTCTCGCCCGGGGAATGACAGAAAAAAGTCTTCAGAGCAGGCTTCAGAGCGACTTTAAAAGTCAGTCCTTGATGTCATCCCCATTCCCATTCTCATTCCCAACCCGAATCCCAATCCCTCTCGACCCCTCTAAGGCTGCATGTAATTTGCTGTTTGAACAACTTGTCGCTGGTGACATTTTGGCAGAGCCTCAACTGGGAATGAGTGTGGCTGGGATGGGAATCTGGGCCCCGCCTAACTAACTTCCTGTACATGGCTGATGACTTGTTCGAGCTCTGCTCCCCGGATCCCGGTCGCTCTTCAATCTTTTGTCCTGCCAAACTCATGTGTGCTGGCCACGTTGTCGGTGACATATTCCGCCGAAAAGGAACAGGTCCAGGTCCTGGTCCAGAAGCTGAAGGAGCCAGCAAGGAGTAAAGCAACTGTTGATGTTTGAGTTGGAACCGATGCTTACACTAGAAATAAACATCTATTATACTTATTTATATGAAATTGGAAGAATTATATACATGTACATAAATGTATGTACATAAAATAGATATAACGATAACAAAAATAAACGTTTCAGAATAAATTTAAGTGGGAAATGGATTAAGACCTTTTTTTTACTTTTTAAAAAGTATTGAGTTTCCTGGTGAAAGTTAATCGATTTTTTCTAAAGTGTAAGGAATGATAGTTGGGCGATTGTTGTGAGCTGTAGGGGGATTCTCCGGCGCAATGTTGCAGCTAGGAAAACGTTGTGCACCAGTTATAGATACATCACGGTTGGCCAGGTTTTGGGTTTTGTCGTGGATCTGCCCCATTTCCTCCCACCGCCCTTTCGAGTCAGTGTATCAATCCGACAACGTGCCACTTGTTAACGCACAATGGAGTTCTTTCACAACGTTGATTGATATGCCCTGCCTGCTTTGAAGCCCCTTGAAGGGCGCTCTATCTGCTGTCGCAATTTGGCTGTACATATTTGCTGGATCGGTTCATAGTTGAGATTGCTCTCACAGAAAAGGGTAAAGCCCGGATTTTTTAAATCAATAACAGTCATCAATAGGCCTTGGAAGAGTTCATAATTGTCGTTACAATGAATCAGGGAAACAGCACAAAAAAATATTGATTACGGTTAAGTATATAAGAACATTAAGTAGTACTTTCCAGCGGAAATAAGAACAGAATATAATTTAGATATTTAAAGTGTGTTTATTAAGCACACGCTTATTATAATAAGTATTCAAGCTTTTTATGATTTTACTATTGTCATAGTAGGAAAATCGGAAGGTGGGTACGTTACTGGACTAGAAATGGTGAAGTACTCGTCTGCGTCAATTTCCTCAGGACTATATGTAGTAGGCCTGCGAGTTGTAGTAGTTGGATTTTGTGGTCTATGGAATTCTTCTTCACGCACGGACTCTTCTGTATCGGTGGATATGGAGTACCTTGCGATCTGCTCGTCAATCCAATTGCGAAACTTTGCCACATTGGTGTACACGCCCGGGGTGTCCGCCTCTCCGCAGCCAACGCCCCAGTTTACAATGCCAGCCTGCTCAAACCGTTCGGGATCATTATCGAGGGGACAGGCCAGTGGGGAACCACCGTCACCCGAGCAGGAATCCTTGCCCTCCTCACCACCTGCACAAATCAGGCTCTCATCAAGCTGGAAGGCACTGCCTTTAAGTCTCTTCATCTGTCCCTCACAGGTCCTGCTGCCCACAACTGGTAGATCCACCTTCTTCATAATGTTCATAAAAGAGTTTTGCTCGACGGCATCCTGGCCCCAGCCGCTGAAGATACACCGTTTTCTGTCAAATTTTTGGTTCTCCGACGGCAGACAAATGGGGCGGATGTGGTGTGAGAGCACGAACTTCTTTTTGAGAAACAGCAGGGCAAGATTGTTGGCCCCATTTTGCCTATTGAATGAGGGAAAACGCACGATCTTCCGGACTCCTATTTCCACCTGTGGGAACTTCTCAGTTTCAGTGTTAAAGTCCCATTCGCCTGCCCGCACCACGATTTCGTCGCTGCCATAGTTCTTGGTAATGTGGTGAGCCGTAAGGACCACATCTAAGGCGATCAATGAGCCGCCGCCCAAATACTTGTTAGTCTGAAGCATCACGGCCATCATCCAGGGAAGTTCGTTTTCCTGGGCAAAACCGTCAGCCGATCGCAAAGTGAATGTGAGACCCTTTTTGTTAACTAACCCGCATTTAGTTTGTTTTGGTGGGTTGCTCCAATCGTTGTCTTCACTTTCGGGTAACTGCAATTGCATAACATATATATTAGCAAAGGTTTAAAAAGCAAAGTATCCAAGTTCTCAGCTACTTACAATCTTAGAAGATGGGCAGCAGCTTTCTGTTGACTCGCATCCATTGTTGCCGCGAAAGGTAACTTGTAAGTTCACAACAGCTCGATCATCTTCGAAACCAAGGTCGCACAGGTGATGCGCAACACACCGATTTTTTCGATTGATGCCGCAATACTTTACAGCCTGGACAACGGAAAGAGCCAAACACAGTAGCGAAAAAATTGCCGTAGGACAGAGCATATTTCTTGATGTTCCGCCGCTGAAAAAGTACAACTGGAGTGTGTGCAGTAATCCATCGCAGTATATATAGTCGTCACAGATCTAGCGAGGCGGCATTTCGCGATAAGAAAAGTATTTTTAATTATCAGTCTTCCGATTTCAGTGGAATATAATACAAACAAAAGATTCTTAGCAGTGTGATGTGCGAAGCAGTTTTTTGCATTGCCTCTTTCTTAGAATTACATATTTCTCTATAGAAATTTCTTATGTTCTGGAGTCTTAGCTATAAATTTTATAATAATATCATGGCTGCCGATTGTATAAGTAGTTTTATAAAATTTTCGCTCTATGTCAATTAAATTTGTGTATTGTATTTTCATATTATATGTATTTATTTTGGAATTATATAGACTAAATGACAAAATTTCTCGATGTTTTTAGCAGACCCTAGAATACCTATGCTCAAAAATTTATATAAAGCTTGAAGCTCTTGTTAAATGCTATTATCAAGCTGCTTTTCTTGATATAATTGCAGCTTATCAATACATATAACTTTCCATTAAAATTTATTTGTCTCATGCTGATTTAAGAAATTTACTAATGATGCTGAAAGAAAAATATAAATATTCCAAGATCCTTCAGATCTGAGCTCTGGATAAAAGCTACCCACGACCTTCAAGCCCTTGTGTAACTTGCCTGTAAAGTTATGCCCAGAAGCATAACATCCTCTTTAGGTATTCAGCTTCTATTTCGATGGGGCCGCTCCTTTTTAGAAAATGTTTGCAAAATATTGACACAGCTATTATGTAGCGCGCTCAAATTAATAGCAATGACAAGGTAAACACTCCGAAGCGCACACATTCACACACGGATGGGGGCGGAAAGGGGCGGGGCGGCTTGGGGATGTCTTTCAGGTGCGAGCTCTCTCTCTTTTGGCAAATCCTTAAATGCTGTTTGCGTGTGTGTACGTGTCTTTGTTGGCAAATTAACACACACATTCGGGGCATACGTGAGCCTACACAAACATATACACAGGCGGGCAAACAAAAAGCATAGCCTACCTATGCGGGCGGCGTATTTATTTACGCCTTTGAGTGGTTTACGCCCCTAACCGCCACACAGCCTCCCACATCGGCCCCACTCTTTTCACATGTCACTCGACGGTTTTCATGGCTTTTTTATGCACTTGCATACATATGTGTATGTATATTTGCTTTCACTTTACACTTTTGCAAACAGGTTTTTTAAACAACTTTGGTGGCGAACGAGCTGCATGGAATGGCTTTACATTTATGCGTTTAATTGGAACCGCCCTTGGTCCAGCCCTGGTCCATCTCTCTTGAAAAAAAGGAACCACATTGATTACTATTTACTTCCAAGATTCAAAAATAAGAACCTTTTGAAATCGTATCCGAAGGATTTATAATTTTTGGTTGCTAATTTGTATTTTTCTTCTCGACAGCCTTGCCTTCGATTTGTTCTTTCAGGTATCAAAGTGAGAGGTGTAGTGGCGACTGAAGACCCTGCCACGGAAATCAGCCTAGAAGGATGCTACGCTTTATGTGAAGCCTAAGCCTAGCTTCGCCAGTGTTGCCGATCACGTAAAGGTGGTCAAGCGACTACGTAACAAAGCTTTGAGCAAGCTTGCACGTGCCGTAATGTAGAGCTGCATTTAACTAAAACGCGTTTTGGCATATTTAACAGAGAATTTACATTTGCTCTGAAGACGAAGAAGAGCGCATTTGCCAATTAGGAAATTTTTTTCAAGCCGACTTTCCGTTTCCGTGGGAGGTCTTTTTAAATCAAGGTCTAGAAGAGCATAGACGTGTCGGGTGCTCGTAATTATCAATAAATTAGACAGTGGCAGTGAATCGCGTAAACCAAGTGTTGAAGTGGCCGCTGAAAGCTTCGCAGAAAAAGTGAGTAGAGAAGTGCCAAATTTGTGGGGCACAGTGAGTAACCTTTTTGTTGCCCAGGTTAGGAAAACTAGAAAATTGGAGGCAGCAAAGCAGCGTCGACGCACGGCCAGGGCCAAAGGTCGACAAGACCTTTCGCCAAGGGAAAATCCCTTAACTTTGTTACCAGGGCTCAAGCCAGCGGGTAATTATGAAAATGAAGTGTTTGTTAAAGGCAGTGCTTACTGTTTGAATGGAAATTTACAGATTGGGCCCTGCAGTAAAGAGTCAAGTCCCTAGGCAAGGGGTACCCCTAACCTGAGGGGATGAAGTAGAGAAGCTACAACCAGCGCAGGAGGAGCCGATCCCCAGGAAAAATCAGGCCAACAGCGCGGATGCGCAACTCATCTCTTGGCCAGCTTCGCGTCGGGAAAGCGATTAAATTTTTTTTTGTGAAAATTTTTCTAACCTCGCGGGTTAACCTTGACCTGACCCCTGTGTTCTCACCTCCTCCTAATGCAAGTGAAGAATAATTTTAAATAGGGTTTTACCCTTAAAGCCCATTTTGGTTACTTTTTCTTCTGAGTTTTGTGCGAACAATTTGCTCTAACAAAGACAATGTGATTAATGGCCCAAAACATTTGTTAATATTGGCCTTTGAATTTAAAAACTTATGCTCGAATTATGCTCTCGATCTGCTTGCATCTAGCCGTGAATTTAATGAAGCCGAATAATGAAAATTTATGCTGAATTTCCAATATTTTAATTTTATTTATTATTAATTTAGTTTTTTTAATTTAATTTTTACACCTTTATTTTTTACTTCAAATTAAGTTCCATTGTTGCATAGGAAAAAAATAATAATATAAGAAAAATAGGGCCATTCGGACTTTAACCCCTTTTTTCCAGAGAAAAGCTTCGAGGGAGATCGATCTTCGCCGATGGAAAATTGAGTGAGTCTAAAAAAAGCCATTCGAATGAAAACATGCAATTGAAGAAAAATGAAAAATACTTGAAAACTTAAACAATTTAAAATGATTTAATTTAAAATATACAAAAATAAAATCTCCATAAGCTAATGCAACAATTGAAATTGAAATTGAAATGAACTAAAGACATGAAGTAAATTTATTTTAATAGTTAATAGAAAAGAGAAAACATGAAGTAAACGAACATTTAATAATACAATTTAAATTTGATTTAAACTTTTAAGAAAAATTATTTCTTTTGAATTTTGTGCACAATTTTTAAACACATATATGTACATCTATGCACCTCCTTAATTTTATACATTTTAATTTTAGCTTATATTTATCTTTGTTAGCTTTAAGTATTGAATTAATTTTATTAAACCTGTTTTAATTTTAAAAATCATGTTAGCTTAAAAACCGGTATATACCGACTCGTAGGATGACTCCACGGTCGTAGGGTCCTGAAGGGATCACCAGAGCCATGCTCTTGCGGCAGGTGATCGTAGGTTGGGTGGGCACAAAGCGAGCACAACAATATCTGTGTCTCTGCATTGTATAGATTTTCTCTCTGTCTTCTCTTCTCTCCACTTCCGCTTTTCTTCTGTCTTCTTTATGTTGTGGGAATTTTGTTTATCATTTCTTCCGGTTTTGTTCTAGCTTTTATTTTGTCGCAGCACGCTCAATTCTAGTCTTTGTAATAATAATGTGTAGTCGTTGTCCGAGATCTGGGTGAGCAAGACCTCCACCCCCAAAGCCGACGAGCTAGAGCCGGAAAAATAAAGCGTGCCCCAGCAGCCCAGATCCTCACCAACCCCGACGAGTATATGGTTGCACGCTACAGTTATAATTCATTATTATTATTAAGAAAAGTGGCGCCCAACGTGTGGAGCCTTAGTAAAAAAATTATTTTTTATTAAGACTCGCGGATAGACAAATTCAACACATTCTACTTTAACACTCTCTTTTTTTTATACCCTTATGTAGGGGAATTTAGTTTAATAATTCACATACAATAATTTATTTACAAGATTGGTTTAAACATAAGTGCTTAGATTAGGTTCACAAGTTCATTTTCTTTTGTTTTCACACACAGCGTCTTCTTTTCACAACTTCTCACTAGCTCTCTCAAACGACGACCCTCTTACTTCTAGCTTTTATTATTAGGTCTTAAAACTATCGGTAATTATCTAAATATCGAAACTAATTATGGGTTGCCAGATAGCTTAACCCGCTTCTCGTACGCCGCGAAGGAAACCCGCCTATTTCGAATCCCACATTCGGCCCTCCTGACTGTTCATTCGCCCCGAATGGACCTGGCCATGGCTTCATGAATTCAGAAACGGTTGATGTTTTGAACGGACCCTCTGTGTCCCCTATACGCTCAACTTCATATCGCCCATGATCTTTGACAGCAACTATTTTGTATGGCCCTAAGAACTTTCCCTTAAGCTTTAACCCTACTCCGTACTGGGTCCTCTTAATCGCTACTAGGTCATTGACTTTATAAACTCTTTCCTGTTTCCGTTTCAAATCAAACGCTTTTTTATTCTCTTCCTGCAACTGTTTGATACTTTCTCTGGCTGTTTGGCGATATTTCTCTCTTTCTTCATCCAACTCTTTTACTGCAAACTCCTGCATCAAATCTTTCAGCTCGCTGCAGTCGGTCAATCGCATTTCAACTCCTGTTAAAAGCTTAAAAGGCGTGATCCTAGTACTTCTTGGCTCGGTGCTGTTTATAATCTGCTGAACTCTTCCAACGTGCTTATACCATGCAAAAGGACTTTCATAACTCAACTTTGCAAGCATTGGTACGACGATCTTGTGAATCCTTTCGACTTGGCCATTTCCGCGCGGTACACCTGTCGCTATGAGCAAATGCTGTATATTGTTCGACTCGCAATACTCCTTGAACGCTTGAGATGTAAAAGCGGTGCCTCTGTCGGTCACTATGCGCAAGGATTTCCAATATAGAGTCTGATAAAAAGAAACACGACACTCGACTCTTGTAGTTAAAATCCTGCAAGTATAAAGCCCAACGAGCTACGCGAAGAGGAACTTCCCTCTTGTTCATGGTCATCTTGAACGCGTTACAGTCCGTAACAATTGTGAAATTTATGCCCAACACATAAACACGCCACTTCACTAGAGCTCCAATGA